TTACAGAAAGCATCTCTGAAAACAGAGACGCCTAGATCATGTTCTCAAACCTGAGATGAGAAAATTAGTTCCAGAACAAAAACCCAGGATGTAATTAACCAGATTCTAAAATCTTACACCACATTTCAAATAAAGGAGAGAAGAGAAAGTGTTTAGTTATTTAAATCTTTGTTTTTAAGTTTAGACACCGTTATAGTCTTACAGCCCAAACTCAGCTGTTCCCTTGACCCATATTCTGGGTAGAACTTTTTGTTTAAAGGGATATTTCTGATTATCTTTGAGGAGTGACTCTATGACGTGATCTTGAACCCTGACCTGAGGGACAGGGTGGAAGGGATCAGTATCATTTCCAGAATGTCAGATGTAACACAGATGTGTAGTTCTCCAAACCAGTGTTTGCTCCAAAATCACAAAAAAATAATAAACTCATTCAACCAGCTGTTCAGGAACTAAACAGTCTGAGGTCAGACATCACCTCCAGACTGTTCCAGGAGGCAGAAACCTCCACCAGCAGGGAGCGATCATCAGTGTTACCAGCTGATAATCCTGCACCAGTTCATCTGTTTGTTTTTGTGGATATCCTCCATCTTATCAAACCTCCAGTCAGTTGAGGCTGTTCTGATGGAGGTTTCTTCCTGTTAAAGGGGAGTTTTTCCTCTCCACTGTCACTGTGTGCATGCTCAGTATGAGGAATTGCTGCAAAGTCAATGACAATATAAAACACTTACTTTTATTAAATGAAAGTATGAATACCTACAAGGTGTCCAAGTCGAAAGCAAGAAGTACTTCATATATTTTCCTGGTTTACTCACTTTGGGTTATTAATGTGAAGAACCACTGACTGATGATTTAGACCTTTGAGCAGAAAAATAAAAATTTGAAAGAAAACTCGTTCACCTCCTAACCTTCCTATTAATCTCTGCTTTAAGTTTGCGGCAGCTTCTTTTCTCTCAAAGCTCATTTCACTGAAGAAGTTTCTCGAGGGAGTTGAACTTTTGTACATGAACCACTTTTGAGTCAAATGAGGGTCAAAAGTTCAGATTTGAGATTCACAAAAGCCTAAAGAGCTAAGAAGTGGTGTTTTAAACATTAGAGGGGGGAGCAGCTTCTGGCTGTAAACAGACTCAGAGAATGAGAAGTCAGCTCCGTCTACATCACAAATTATTCCAGATGAAGTCGAAACCCATAATCATGTCGTACTGAACTTCTCCTTTTCAGGTCAAACTCACATAAAGGAATAAAAAGAATCCCTGTGAATGTTTGGTTTACTTTCAGATCGTCTGTTTCTCTTTGCATCCATGATGTCAGGCTGGATGCAGGTCAGTCTGGCTCGTTAATCATCTCTCCTCCCCGACATGCATCACTCCATCCACCCATTCCCTCTTCTCTCCTCCATACATCTCCAGGCCTTCGTCTGTCATTCCAGAGAGCAAAATAAATCACCTCTTACATCATGACAGCTCAACACCTACACTGTGATTTGCTCCTTGGATCAATGGCTTCATTGAAATTAGTAAGAAGATATAAGTTTCACATTTATCTGCCTCCACAGTTGAAAGGTTTCATTTGCATGCAGGTCTGTGTATGTTTTAGAGCAAGAGGAGGTTGTGATGGAGGGATACATGAATGGGTGAACGGATGAAGAGAGCCTTCTAAAACCAAACAAATAAATAAATAAAAAGAAAAGGCAGCTGCTCAGTGGATAATCTTTCAGCTTCTAACCACAGAGGATTGGAGGGTTAGAGGTGCCTGCCAGTCATCCTGCAGAGTCCCCACTGAGGTAACCCGGGTTATGGGTTTCACGAGGAGGGGGAGGCGAGTTACTGGAGGAAGTTCAGAGAGTCTGCTTTCAGAGAGGATTGCATCCTCTGAAAAAAAAAATATCTCTTTTTCTGAACTGAAACACAAAAAACAAAAAGCACATCAGGCTCTTCCAACTGCAAGGACAAAGAAGGCGAGGGAGACGCCTCCGATTCCAAAGGAGCGACTCGGATAACTGCAGCACTTGAAGCTTTTAGTGTCCACTCAAGGAAAATGTCACATGTCCAAATAAATCGCCTGTTTTATGTGTCTGCACTGATCAGAGCTTAAATGTGCCCGAGCAGCAAAGAAAGATGATATTCGCGGCGGCGTCTCTCCAGGTTTCCAGTTTTCATGTTTCCTGTGCATCTGTTCACCATAAAGCTGTGAGCAAAACCTCATGAGCAGCAATAGAAAACTATTAAAACCAGTTTGAGTTATTCAAGCACCCAGATCACCAAACAGCAGGGTCTTCATGACAAGTGATGCTAATTAGACTCACAGCTACCCGATTTGTTGTGAGTGCAGACAAGCCGGTGGACAAACACCATAAGTGTCGGTCAGAGCATGAATTACATGTTGCTTAGGGATGCAGACGAACACAGAGGGCAGAAAGCTGCGTATCTGGCCGATAAATTCAGGAAACAGCCGTTAACCTCTGAAGAAGGTTGTCCAGTAAGGAAGAAAATGTACATTTACAAATGGCTACAAGAACAGACTACATGAGGACAAAATACTAAAAGTTATTTATAATTTTGGGTTTGAAGCGTTTTAGCAACACTAGGCAGTTAGGGAATGGAAATGAGTAACACTGGTAGGAATAAAAGCTTCTGGAACCGTACATTTAAGGACTTTTCTGTTTTTAAGACAATGACAAACAAGCAATGGCTGTTTAAAACATTTTGACTAAATTCCAAAGTCTTTGAGCATTAACAGAATCAATAAAATAAACTCAATGAGATTAACTTTAGACTGCTGGTAGATGCAATCTTGAAACTAATAACCTGTAATTGATTTAGCATCTAATTGACAGCAGCACATAATATTTGTATTTAATCACAATTTGATTTAATCCCAGTCTTGCAGCCCTGGATCAGTTAGCTTCTGTTAGGGACAACGCTGAGATGTATTTTAAAGCAGATATCTGAGGCCGCTGACTCTGAATGTTCACATTAATATAAAAACAGGTGAAAAACAGAAGCAGAGAAAAGCAGGATGAAAGCTGAAGATGAAAAAATAATGACTTTGCTCACTGCAGCTCCATTTCTACAGCAGGTGTCAGCCGCAGGAGATCAGACGTTTCAGGCTTAATCTCTCTTCAACAATCAGACTCAAATCCTCTTGCATTAAATGAGGAACACAGGATGAATATTAAAAAAGTGTCTCAAATATGACTACCATGTTTAGCTTTGGTGGGTCTGCCTCACCTGGGGGGGGGGGCACCACCGATCCAGGTTCTCACATGTTGCGGTTTCCTAAAAGTGGCTTTTTCAACCCTGGACTGTTTCTCATCTGAGGATTTTCAAACTGGGGCACAGAGTACTGATCGATTTGAAGAGCTGCTAAACTGAGTTCATTTTATGGATTTGCACTAATCGTGGTGAAAGTGGTCCAGTTCCCTTTTAACTGCTTTTGTCAGCGATGGTAACCTGAGGCAACCGCATCATTTCCTGTGTGTTTCTGTGAGTCTGCTAATTTACCCGTTTACCCCGACATAAACCAGGATTAGGACTTAAAATGACCCAGATTAACAGATGCCGACCACTTCTGATTCAGTATAAAGATCTGAACCCTTAATACCAGTGATTCAGCAACAGACCATCTCCATGTTGCAAATATTTCTTCCCATTTCAGCCCATCAGACCAGTTCTCTCCAAGTCAGTAATAAACTGCTAAACATGCAGGCAAGTGAAACTGAGCTCAGCTTCCCCCAAAATGTATGTAAAAAGGATCAAAATGGCTAAACAATGGTTGGAAAGATTACTCTGCACTACTGCTGATAAAAATAAGAAGAAACAAAGATCTTGGCATAAAGATAAGAAAATATGGATTTTATTTGTTTTTACCTTAAAAGACATTAAGATTAATTTCTCCACAGGATTATTGTTGTGGCAGAAGTTTTACATTTGGATAAAACGGTAAATTACATTTGGATCAGACAAAACATAGATTTGGTAGCTCAAGTATCTAAAGATGACAAGTAGCTATAAATGACTTGTTTTATGTGAACATCAAAACAAAATGAGTTGATTTTAAAAAGAGTTTTGCTGTCCACGATTAAACTGGATATCAGTTCAAAGGAAAATCGTTTGCAAGCATTTCTGCTGCATAAGCAGATATTTAACCTCAGATTTCAGATCCAAGTTCAGTTCTTACCAATCAGCAGAAACGTGTCAAATACTGAATTACTTTCAATTCTATGGAAAAAAAAACAAAAAACAAACAAACAAACTTCACTTTCAGCCTGGTTCTGCATCTCTCTGGTTCTGCCTTCATCACAAAGCCGTTCTTCTTAATCTAGAAAGGAACTGTGTCTTAATATAAAAGTAGTTGTCAACAAGCAAGTAAAGCAAATATTGCAGTTTAGAAAAAAGCAGATGGACACATGCAGCTCGCCCTGGGATGACCAAGTTTCATTCTTAGCTGTTGTCCAACATCTCAGCTTCTGGACAGATGGATTTTTTCATTTAGTGGACATCCAGCAGCATGAATAGCAGGTAAGATTTATCACAGTGTCTGCATCTAAAGTCAGTCAAAACAGTCAACTTTTCACCATCTTTACTACAGATTTCCACTGGGAGAAGATAATTCTGCACAATCAGAAAAAAGGAGCATCAGCTACAATCAAGACATTTCTGCTGCAAGTCCACATAAAGTCACAGCATTTGAAATTAGCAGCATTTATCCAAACTACAGTTCATTTCCCCCCAAACATCCAAAACTGAGCAACAACAGCAGAAAGCTCAGTAATTTGGTTTGCTGCAGGAAAATAACTGAGTTATTTCTCCTTCTTCAGCAAACGCAGCCCTTCAAATGGATTTTTAATAAAATAGGATTCAATTATAGACGGCCTTTTAGCCTGTGTGACACATCTTACATAAAAGCAAATGTTGTTCCACAGTTGCTTGGTAGGGGTCGGCTCACCCCCACCAGCAGGTGAGACCACAAAAACAGAGCAATAATAATAAAAAAACACTCACAGAAGTGAAGGAGCTGCAGGAAATCCAGAATTTCAAGGATGAACCCAAAAGTACTGCTGGATTCAATAGGAACAAACGTCTGGAACCAAACCAGTGGAGAAAGAAAACCTGGCAGGAAATAATGACTGAAGGAGCCGTGAGCAGCAGGAGCCACAGACAATCAGCAACCAAAGACCAGGTGTGTTACACAAATTATGAGGAAGGAAAATTTAAGCAAACAGAAATGCACCTTAAGTTGGTTTTCCAACCAGCAATAAAACTCAGAAGAAGAAGAAGCAAAAAAAAAAGACAGAAAACCAATTTAGAGGAACCAAAAAATGACAAGATTTACTTCAATAGAACAGAGACGAAAAATAATACAAAGGTAATTATTTCAATAAAATTAGAAGCGACCCGGCTGAAACAAAAGGTCACTGAAAAAACAAACTGAACTTCTCTTTCATGTCGGGCCTGAGCAGTGAGATGTGCAGTAGGTGTCTAATGAAGCAGCAGCCAGCAGGTCAAGGCACCAACACGGAGGACACCTCATGCTTGTTAGAGACGCCAGACACCACGAGACACCAGGAGGTTAAAGACGGGGCTGATGCCTCTCAGCTGTTCCTCAAACCAGCCATATTCTAACAATCAAGCCAAACGTGTCCATCAAAGATCCACAAACAGCTTGAGCTCCATGTTCCCAACGCTGCAGCCAAGTTGTAGCAAAGTAGAACACAAGACCCTCTGACTTCCACCACACACACACACACGCACGCACGCACGCACGCACACACACACACACACACACACACACAGAAGTTTCTCGATGGAAATGCCAAGCAGCTTGGCAGGAAGCTGACATGAAGTAGTGGAGGCTTGCTATTTTCATTCTGTGGAAAACCCTACGATTATTTAGAAGATGCCTCAGTTTGTTTCGCCAGAGAAAGACACGGAAAACACGGTGTGGGATGTGGCAGACAGTTTATTACCAATCCAAAGCCCTGAGTAGGAGGAATTTGCTGTGCCAATTTTTTGTGGAGAGTTGAGTTCTTTCATGTTGCACGGTTTAATTCTGCCTCGAAGTCATGCTTGTAAGCCCGTAGTCAAGGCCTCTGAAGTGGCAAGTAAGACATGTCATGCATATAAGTGCCCTCATAGTTGCAGGCAGCATTAGTAAACTGTTGCTGAGATCATTTAATATGAGGAAAAACCGGAGACCAAAAAGTAGGAGCCAGTAATGAGCCAAAAGAATTTTAATTATGGGAATACGGAGCCAAGCACAAAGTATTCACGCTCCTTGAACTTGTACACACTTCCTCACATTAAAAGCGAAAAGTACAGCAGAATTATAAAGCAGAAATTAATTAATAAACTGCTTTTCACATAAAATGTGTGGTGAAAACATTCAGCTTCCCCGAGTCAAAGCTCTGCAAATCCAACAAGTTTTAACTCAATTTGCTCATCTGAAATCGTTGCTCATTCTACTTTACATTTGATGAAATATCATATTTATTATTTCTTCTGTTACTGTATGATATACTTACCACATAAAGCTCATTGAACTGCCTTGTTGCTGAAATGTGCTAAACTAATAAACCTGCAGAAAAGCTCAGGGTAAGTCAGTCGTGATGGAGAGCGCCTGTAAACGATTTTAAAAGTTTTTGCTACAAATTCTTATTTAAGGGTCTGGACTTTGACTGGGCCTTTTTATAACATGAAAATGTTTTGATCTAACCCCCATCTCAAAATCCCTGGAAGGTTTTTGCCCCACTAGAAAGTGAAGATCCACCCCAGCCTCAAGTCATTTGGCGTCATGCATTGTCCAAAGATTTTAATCAGCTTCTGTGTCCCTTCAAAATAAAAGCACCTCCACACCATGTTTTTCCACTGACATGCTGCTTTCAAGGGGATTTGCACAAAACATTTAGCATTTAGGCCAAACAGTTCAGTTTTGGTTACACCTTCTGTCACATTTGTTGCGAACAGCAAACGTGACTAAACTAACACATTTGTTGATACTTTCTATTAAAAATAAAAGTAGAGAACATGGATTTCTGAATAACTTAAAAATGAGTGATTTCCAAAGCTGATTACTGTGTGAGGAAAGCTTAAACTCTGGCATCAGGGGGAAAACAGAAACCAAACGATCTGAATGACATTCAGCAAAATGAGAAAATTTCAGCTTCTATGAATTTTGATGGTTAATTATGAGTATAAAAGAAAATCTCCATTGTTCTCACTTCTCCGACGAACATTCCCAGGAGGACAGTTTTAAAAGCTGCACCTCTGCAGCAGCAGCTGGTTGAGAAGAAACCGTTTAGTCGCTCGGGAAGAAGATCCGTGCAACATAAATCCCGGCTGCGGCACAGAGTCCTGCAGGAAACACAGGAGTGTGTTTCTGTGTGACGGTGCGGGACTTCATTGAAGTCCAAATGTACAATATTTCAAACCCCGAAGCAGATATTTGCTAAGAAATAAAATGATGCAAGGATGATTTAACCAGTGAGCACATCCTGCTTTCCTCTGCATGTCTGGGTTGTGCAGCAGATCTGAACATAAGTAGGTAAAAGCCCATTTCACTTTTTTATTTTTAAGTATTTTATTTTATTTTTTACAGAATGCAAATCTAAAACATCCTCAAGGGGTTGGAGCAACATTTGAGCAGTTTCTCAGGATATCGCCATCCTGATACCTGAAGTTATTTTCCTCTTCATGTCAGTCGCCTCCCCCCAGCGAGCTGCGGCCTCCTCAGCCCGGGTCTCACCGCCATCAGTCAGGGTTGATCCAGGCTGCAGCGGAAAGCCTGGCGTATCGCCGTCCTGGATCTCACCCTCTGGGATGAGGGTTAAGAGAAAACTCGCTCTAAAATTATGTTTTACTTTAGCCTTGAGGTGGGGTCAGGCTTCTTAGATTAGGGTGAAGGCAGCCCATGTGTGTGTGACGGCGCGGTGTGTTTCTGAAGGCGGGGGAGGAGGTGAGAGGCCCTTTGAAACCAAATGACTGAGTGAGGCACGAGAAACAAGTGATTACTAACCTCCAGGCTCTGTTGTTAAATGTCAGCCTCTTGAGGAGCGGCTGTGTCATGTGACCTGGAGACGCTGACATCATCTGATGCTCCAGCGATGTTTAATTTGTCTCTCCAAAATGAGACGTCTCAATTTTGACCCTCAATTTTAAATCAATTATGTGCCTGGATGAACTCCATGCAGGAAACACTGATATATTGTTCACGTTCCTTCAAATTAAAACAGAGTCTTCTGTCACTACAATGTTTGGTAGCCTGTTATAGAATGCATAAAGTAAAAACAAAAAAGAAATGACTTGAAATGTCACAAATGTAAGAAATTCCAACATAATTTACTGAATCCTGTTGTTGTAACTTGTTTACTGCTCATCTAAACAAAGCTTGTTAGGATGATTTATACCGCTGAATTAATGTTTTTGTTTCAGTTACTTCAGTCAGTTCTGCAGACTGCAAAATATTTCAAACACATGTTGAAGTCTGAATACTATGATTACTGCAAAAACAGTCAAAAAGTTTTATTCACTTTCAGCTCCCCAACGTTTCAGAACTGTTGAGTTACTTTCTGAAGCTAACGTGGCTAAGGTTAGCTTTGACAATGTCTCCACAGCCCCAAACTGTCAAAATCTTAAATGTCTAAAATCAATATGAAACCAATAAACCAAACTAGAGTAGATTTAGTTTGGCTTCTAAGACGTTTTTTATTAAAAGGTGACATTTTCTAGCTTCCTGTAGTAACTAGCTGTGCGAATGCTGTACAACTAGCACAACTGAACAATACTGGTTGCTTGTCTTTTTATTTAATCTTGCAAAAACTAAAAATAAATATTGTGAATATTCATTGTATACCGTTATCCTTCAGTAGCAGCTCCTGCTAATGAACCTCGCTTATAATTAGCTTACTGATCCTTTACAGTTTTATTTATATTTCTGATGCACTTAGTTTCAGAGATGAACATTTAACACAATTATGGAGGATTTAGAGTTGACTTAAAGAAGAACTGGTTCCTTAATTTATATTAAAAAATACATATCAGGTGTATGCAACTGAAAGCTACAATTTGTGGGTCTGGATAGAGTAACTTACTTACGATATAATGCTAAAAAATACCCCAGATGATCCATTAACTGGACTTTTTCCCCTCCCTTTCTGTCATATTCTCTCTCTTTTCTCTATTTATCAAGCATTTGGATTTAAATCCAAACTGATACTCCTTGTAACCTCTGAACAACTCAAATTACTCTTCAAGAGAAGCACAAAGAGCCAGAAGAGCACACCTGTTGGTAGCACAGCATCACCATCCTGCTGTGAACAGGTCGGCCTCCTGCTGGGAACAAGCTCCACAAACTCATCTTGAGTTTCACTTAAAAAAATAAAGAAATCTAACAAAACCTGTCAAACTTCAGTGGGAAAATCTCCTCTGTAGAACATTACAAAGTGAAATTTTTCTTCAGGCATAAAGCATTAAATATAAACCGCGTGTTTTAATTCCTGCTGAGAGAATAAGTGAAAATTATTTCAGTAAAAATAAATTGCTTTCATTTCCTGCCCCAGATTTTAAAATGTACACAATGACCCACCGACATGAGAACAATGTTTTTGTGATTATTTCTCAGTAGCAAAAATCAATCTTAGAGTTCAAAAGCAATTTTTTTTTTATGTAACCTAATCTACACACATCAACTGCTTAGATTTACATTTTAAAAACACTTCTTGATTTTCAGTCTCCTGAAGAAGACTCTAACTCTGCCTCCTTCTGTGACAAATTGGTCATTAAACTGATGTTAACATGCAGTTGCACTCTTAGTGCCTGGGGGTCAGAGTTATTATCTGGTCTCAATATGAGGTCGCCTCATGTAAAAGGTTACAAATCAACCTTTTCGTGTGGAAAACTAGTCGAAGTGCTTTTAAAAAACAAATTAAAGCTGTAAATCCTGGAAACAGGAGACGGATGGAGACCATAAACAGATGCAACTCTCTGCTAATAACTGCATGTATCAAAGTATCAACATTCAGACGAGGTAGGATGACCAAAGGCTGATTTTCTGATAGGGTGATGTCCTGTATCCCTCAGCCAGGCTTCAATTAACTGTGCATTCCCAAGAACGCCTTGAGAAAATGAACCCGTTTTAAACTCTGGTCCATAAG